CGGGCGCGCAGGGAAGGGGCGCCTTCCTCTGCACGTCGGCCTCTGCGGTCAGGCCCCGGCAGACCTGGCGCCCGCCCGCGGCGCGTCACGACTGCGAGGCTCGAGGGCCGCACGGGGCCGTGCCGAGCTGCCTCCTCCCGAGCGGCGGGGAGGCTCTCTGGCAGAGTGTTTTACGAGAAAGCTCAGGGCCCTGGAAATCTCCAATCTCCACAGCTTCATTGAAGCATCTCCTGAAGCCTATCCAGCGTACACACATCAACTCTCAGAGCTGTGAGGCTTTGTGAACTTCCCGAAGTTCACTGGAACATTCCGGGCCTACACACAAAGCTGCTCTTGAATTTCTCGCTGCCCTCTTGAACTCTTTTTTCCATCCGTTCTCCACTCTCCGCACCAAGTGGCGGGCGTGTCAGGCCTCGAGGCGTCCAACTCGGATGGAAGAGGGAAGTGGGAAATGAGGTCAAAAGAGATTGGGGGAAGCATGGCTGTCTCAGTGCCCGTGAAGTTCTCCAGCCCCCTTTTCGCTGGAGCATGGCGGACCTGCACAAGCCTACCGCGCCGCTTCTCGGCGCAATTCTGCGCCGCCGCCGCGAGCTCGTTGATCTCCTTTGCGCGACGGCATCGGTCTTCCAACAACGCGTCCATCCCTCTTCTTTTCCTCCTCCTCCTCCTCCTCCTCCTCCATCTCCTTGTCCTTCTCCTCCTCCTCCTCCTCCTCCTCCTCCTCCGTGCCCTCGCCATCTTCGTCGTCATCCCCCCTACTCTCTCCCTATCCTCCATCCCTCTAATTACCCCCTCGCCGCCTCTCCTCCGCATCCCTCTCCTCCCCCATCGCACCCTTACTGTCGTCGTTCGCTTGATCTCCGTCTCCCGCTCCCCCTCGCCCCCTTTGTCCTCATCGCGCCCGCCTCTCCCACTCCCTGCTCCTACCTCTGCTCCCCTTCCCCTCCCCCCTCCCGTCCTCCGCCCCACGTCCTGTACCATCCGCCCTCCTCTGTCCATCCTCCCCCGGAATGTTCGGGCGCAGCGTGGGTATGATCCGGGGCCCGTGCGGCGAGCTTGGGCACACCTGCTGAGGAGCAAACCTGCGCGGCTCTCTCTAGCCCTGGCAACGCTCTCTGTCTGCCTGACTGTTCGCTGCACTCGAGCTACCGCAGGGCGCTTGAGCTGTGAAAGCAACTGTCGGCAAAGCTCTGGCAGGAAGTGCCACAGCCACATTGTTTCCCATCCCCATGCCCACCAGTCTGTCTGCATAAACCCAATCATGCCCACAAACATCACGACCAAGCGGCCCCAAGACAAACTCGACGTCCGGAACGTGTCTGGAACATTGCCTGCAGCTCAGTCTGTTCCTGAAGCTCTGCCTAGAAACGCCGCCACAGGCAAACATGGTGTGCCCGGGATCGAGCCAGCGCAAGCCCAAAAAAATGCGCCCAGCATGGGAACTGGCAAACGGCACGGGAGGTCCTCACCATCCCGACAGACTTCTGGCATATCTTGAGCCCCAGATTGACTTTGGGCTCAACTTCGGGCACGGCACATTCTCAGATGAGAACCGACTTCAGGCACCTGTTTGGGCACGCACGACTTGAGGACGCACTTCACCAGCTGTTGGATACGCCCTACCACGACAAAATATTAACGCAGCAGGATAGACAAGCAAAACTTACGAATAAATGGTGTAAACTCCGCGTCTTATGACTTAACGCTCTTAGCTGTTCGAAATAATCCCCGCCTATCGTGAAGAGGCTGCCATGTGCTCCGGCCTTCGCCAATAATGAGCTAGCTGCGCTTACACCGGGTATGTGAGCGACCGCACTCTGGCTGACTCAATTCAACGTCAACGTGAATATCAAAACTGTCAACATGTTATACTTCCGCATTTGTTTGACCTGGACGTGATTAGAATAAACCTTGGTTGCGTCATTAATCGCTTCCACGTGCAGTGTGGGAGAGTATCTGCTTGCTCAGTCGCCCACGATATGAGCATGCATTGTTTTGCTGTGACATGGAGGGGGAGGCGTAACATTGAGCAGTCCAATAGATGTGAACTCAACAGCGTTGTTCAAGGTATAGCATATGTGGATGGGTGCGAGGCCGAAACGTCGCAAATCGCTCCTTCGGAATATCCGTGAACATGTCTCACGTTATCAAGATCAAATCGCCGCATTCTCCTCCCAGTGCCCCGTTTCTACAACTGCGGATCCTCCTCACGTGCCGCCGCCTGGTATGTCACCAACTCGACCTTCTCTTTTGCCGCGTCGAGGGCCTGCTGCCACCTCAGCCACATCGGAATCGCGCTTGCACGTCATGCGAACACATGCTCTGGGGATGTGTTCGCTCACAGGAGGCGTGCTTGTGTCTCGCCTCTGCAGTCGCTGTCCCAGCCGCTGCCGCCGCTCGCGTGAGCTGCATGCTCCTCTCCTGGCTGCTCCCTCGCCTTGACCCTGGACCCTGCCCCAGAAAACTTGAGAACTGCTCGGACGAAGTCTACACCGCAGTTTCCCGCACTGGCCCTCTTGAGCGGCGGCGCGCTCGCGGATTGCGCTTCATTACCTAACCTTCTGTAGCTACCGACTGCTAAAGCGGCGATTCCGATAGCGGCGATGGTAGAAAGGTATGACGGCGCCAAGGCGCAGATACGACAACGTGGAAGAACTGGACGAAAAACGGCGGCACATCACTGCTATTGAGGCCTAACTTGCCGAACGCCCTCTGACTCAACGTGGAAAGTGGTTCATTCGACGCACAGGCTGGCAAGATTCTACTAAGCACCCTGCAATGATTGTTCACAGCAGGCAACACATGTTTATCTACACCGGAATGCACCGATGCTGGTGAGTCTTTCGAACAGGGAACAAAATGTACAAAGAGAATATATATATATATATATATATATATATATATGTAGATGATACAGGATCCGGAAAAGTGGGCGGGCTTTTATAGCACAATGCCGCCTCACGCTATGCGCACGAGCGCTGGCAATCGCTAATTCGAATTCCTGCGCAACGGCGTGGGAACAGGAATATGACAATCCTAGTCTGTACGAGAGGGGAGGCCACTCCACGTTGTGGGGGCAGGTTGCGCAGAGTGCCCAGGAGAGGAGCGAATCTGATAAGATATAACATACAGGATAATCATCTTTCCCAGCGACACGAACTCTTGTCACCCCTACTGCAACATAACACCCCTCTGCCCTGACAGACACATGCCTGGAGAAGAAGCGCAAAGGTAGGAATATAGTGCATGTTTAATTACGAAAACTGCCCCGGCACCGCGACATGGCAAATCTTCGCTCCCACTTGCAGCTGCACTTGGCTCCCTCACATCTTAAGCGTAATTTACCCCACCACAGGAGGCTTGCTGCCCAAAATCACCTGTTCAATAGCGAAGCCACCCCCTTATCCCCAATTGCACACTTTGGCGCACAACTCAGATTAGCCTCACACGGCCATATATGTGTGTACGCACGCATGTACGAATGCAAAGCATGACGCTGTGCGTCTAATCCGTCGCGCGGCCGAGGCACGCTCACAGTATACATGCTGCGCGCTGGCTCACATTGTTGGCACTTGCCTTGGCCGCAACGTCTTAACAGTTCAAGTGTGTATATACTGTGAACACACACATATACATATATATATATATATACATGCTCCTCGTCTTATACGTTTACAAGCCAGGGGGTGGGAAAACCCTCCCCCCTCAAAACCGACCGCCCACGATCCAGGGTTAAGTCGGGCCTGTCCCTCTACAGGAGGAATATTCAAAAATAGTCAAAAATAGTCTGGGGACCATTCTTTTCATATTTGTTTGACCGGTTGAAATATTATTCGAGTATTTTTGAACTTTTCGCCCAAAATCCCCTTGTAGAGGGACAAGCCCGACTTACATCCAGGGTTTCCGGCCCCCCCGGACATGGCTGCCAAAGGTCACCCGGCTCGTCCGGGACCTCCCGGGGCGCCCAGCCGGGTCTCGCCAGATGGCCCCAAGTCTGCCCAAGGAAGCCCCAAATGAGCCAAAAAGAGGCCCAACATGCCCCCAGAAGGCGCCCAAGAGAACCCCAAGAAGGCAAGGGAGGCCCCCAAAAAGGAAAAAGAAGCCCAAGAGACCGTCAGAAGGCGCCCAAGAGAAGCCAAAGAATGCCTGGGGGGCCCCCAGAGAAGCCATTGGAGGCCACCAGGAGGGCCTACGCAGCCCCCGTAATTTTCCTGGAGAACCCAAGCTCCCTAACACGGCCCAAGATGGTCCCAGGGCGGCTCAGCAGGGCGCCAAACCAGCCCGCCTGGGCTCCAACAAGACTCACACGGTGTTTTCCCTAAAACTGACCCGAATCCCAGGTTCGCAACCACATTTCCCAAAAATCTGTTGCGAACCTGGGGTTCGGTCCATTCCTTACGAATGACTCACGTGCACGTGCCCCGTTGCGACCCGCTGCAACATGACATCCTGGGCTTGGCATTGCTTTGTACTTTGCAACATTGCTTGACATTACGTCGGTTTGCTTGGCATTCCCTCTCCCTGAACCTCTGGGCCCTCCTCCTCCTCCTCCTCATCTTTCTGCCGCTCCACCACTCGTCCTCCCCCGCTTTCGCTTCCTTCCCTGGCTCCCCGACATTCCCCCCCTCCTATCCTTTGCCCTCCACCCAGCGCTTTTCGGGACCCCCTGGAGGCCCGGGAAGGGCCAGGGACCGCCCGAGCTTTCGAAAACTTCTGCGAACCACCGCAGGGAAGGGGTCAAATTTCCGCGGCCACTAGGAATGGCGCGAACGACCAACACATGCAAAGCCGCAAGGACCAAGGTGCATGGCGCGAAGCGCCACTGCAGTCTTTTTTTTTTTCTTTCTCTCTCTCTCTCTCTCTCTCTCTCTCTCTCTCCATATATATAGATATCGATATCAGGTCTGTAGTTGCCATGAGCTTGCGCCAATCTCGTTTCGAGCAGTTGTCCTCATTACCAGCCGAAGCAATCATTCGTACTCGCGGTCGTATCCACAGCACACACCACGGTTACACACTTACAATGAACACAGTTTACGTGTAGCTGGGCTTTTGATCTGTAGGATGCGGTGGGGGAGATACTATCATGCATGAAGCTCGTCCAAAAAGCTCTGGAAGAGAACCCTGCACGTCTCTAAGTCGTGACAGTCAGCCCCCTCAAAGACGTCCACGAACATCTCACACAAGCGGCTGCAGCCATACGGGCACCCCGCCAGGGGGGCAAGGCTCTTTGGCATGCTCACGCCCAAGTTGACCAAACAGTCCCGGAACGACGCCACGATAGCGCGACCCTCCTGCTGGGAGCTAAATTCATCAATACATGCCATCCTTTATTGTAGCATGACAGCGCTCCAAGCACCCAAAAAATAGCCCTGACCCATCCCACCAACAGTCTCCCAAACCTGAGGGTCACGAGTGCCACAATCAGAAGCGATGTGGAACGCATGGCCCAGAAGCCAGCTGGCCGAGGAGGCCGAACTCCTGCGAAAGCGTGTACCCCATTTCTGATCGAACTCCACCTCGCGGCCGACAATTTGCTTACAGCTGGGGATTCAGAGGCAGCGCGCGTCACCTTGGCAACGCAAGGAACGCGCCTGTGTCTGGCTCCAAGGTAACTCGGGCACTCCTCATCAGAAGCCGTCGCCCTGCGCTCGACTGCTCGACTGCCCACGCGCCCCCCAGAGTGACAGACTCCAGCTCTCCACTCTGGCCGGAACCTGCTCCGAAGGAGCCGCCCAGGCCCCTATTACCAGGCACCTTCCTGAAGCACCCCAGGGGGCAAGCAGCAAAAACATGTCCGCCACCCTGGGGAGCACAATTGTGTGTGTGTGTGTGTGTTTGTGTGTGTGTGAGAGAGAGAGAGAGAGAGAGAGAGAGAGACAGGCCTGCAGGTTGGCTTACTCGGCGGCGAGCCCAGGGGGCAGTGAGAAGGAGAAGGCCTTCTGAGAAGGCTCGGAAGTCCCCCGGCCTTCCGAGAAGCTTTCTCAGCCTGCCCCGACGGCACAGAAACCTTCTCAAAGGCATCAGGGCTTCTGAGAGATCCCGCCGCCTTCTGAGACGGCCTTTTCTTTCCCACCTCCCCCCCTCGCTCGCCGCCGAGTGACGACCGCGTGAAGCTGCCTAGCCACGTGAAGGGGTGCTCTTCTTGTCGCCACGGCTGCACGATCCGACGCAGTCCCGGTTTGCCACCTCCACTGGGGAGGCCCCTGGATGCCCCCGTGACGCCCCGGGAAGCGCCACTCGCCATCGCTCGGACATCCATTCCCCGTACATTTGTTCGTTTCGTGTGCGTTTTTTGGTGCTCGATGATCCAGGATGCTCCTCGATGGTCCTCGCCGAGAAAAGTGCACACGTCCGAGCGATGCCAAGGCCCCCGGCATGGTGCAGCGCCCTGGGTGCCCCTGGGAAGCAACTGAACCTCTGGAAGAACCCTGACACGCCATCACTCCCGGCAAGGCATCACGGGACTCCAGTCTCGGGAGGCAAGGATAACAAAACTAACTCGCGAAACACTCGACCCCCCCTCAGCCGTGACGAATGAAAAATCTGGCCGCGACTAAGTCACCCCCCCGGAGCGATAGATAACGACTGCGACGGCGCCGCGCAAGTGGGGGGCTTATGAGCAATAACAACAAACCTTCGAACATTACATCCCACTTCACTGGCACATGGAAGCTTTGAAAGCTAGTGCAGTAATACTGTGTAGTAAGCATTAATGCAATATGTATACATAAACACAAACGTAATATAAGTATGTGCGCGCCCATTGTTCCGTAATAGTAATACTCTAAGTATGACTGTAGTGGTCGTACTATATTATTGTGTACACGTTAGTACTGTGGTAGTAGTGGTAGTAGTAATAGTAGTAGTAGTAGTAATAGTAATAGTAGTAGTAGTAGTAGTAGTAGTAGTAGTAGTAGTAGTAGTAGTAATACAAGTAGTAGTAGTAGAAGTAGTAGTAGTAGTAGTAGTAGTAGTAGTTGTAGTAGTAGTAGTAGTAGTAGTAGTAGTAGTAGTAGTAGTAGTAGTAGTAGTAGTAGTAGTGGTAGTAGTAGTAGTAGTGGTAGTAGTAGTAGTAGAAGAAGTAGTCGTAGTAGTAGTAGTAGTAGTAGTAGTAGTAGCAGCAGTAGTAGTATAGTACTCTAATACTGGCTGGGGCGGTACTATAGGTACTCTAGTATTTTAGTACTGAAAGGCTGTAATATTGTAGGGGTTCTAATACTTTAATGTTGAAAGGCTCTGGTATTCTTGGTATTCCCGTACTGTAGTAATGATGATAATCGAATACGGGCTGGGGTACTGGTATTCTAAAACTGGAAAGCTCAAGTACAGCAACCGTGCCCTGATACAGTAGCTCTGTAATAGTAATGCTGTAATGCTAACGCTCGATTGCTATAGTCGTTGTAGCACTCCCATGGTACTGTCGTCATACTATACGAAGTACTCTAGTCCAGTACTGGTGGTAGTAGTAGTAGTAGTAGTAGTAGTAGTAGTAGTAGTAGTAGTAGTAGTGAAAGTAGTAGTAGTAGTAGTAGTAGTAGTAGTAGTAGTAGTAGTAGTAGTAGTAGTCCTAGTAGTAGTATTCGTAGAGTTAATGGTAGTTGCAGTAGTAGTAGTAGTAGTAGTAGTAGTAGTAGTAGTAGTAGTAGTAGTAGTAGTACGTAGTAGGTAGTAGTAGTAGTAGTAGTAGTAGTAGTAGTAATAATAATCATAATGCTAGTAGTCGTAGTAGTAGTGGTAGTAGAAGTAGGAGTAGCAGTAGTAGTAGTAGTAGTAGTAGTAGTAGTAGTAGTAGAACTGATAATGGTAGTAGTAGTCCGTAGTTAGTAGTAGTAGTAAGCAATAGCAGTAGTATTAGTAGTAGTAGTAGTCAGCAGTAAGTAGTAAGTGTAGTATAGTAAGTAGTATTAATAGTAGTAGTAGTAGTAGTAGCTGGTGGTAGCAGAGTAGTATATTGAGTAGTATTAGTATAGTAAGTAGTAAGTAGTAGTAGTAAAGTAGTAGTAATAGTAGTAGTAGTAAGTAGTGGTAGTAGTAGTAGTAGTAGCAGTAGTAAAGTAGAAGTAAGTAGAGTATTAGTAGTGTCAATAGTCCGTTAGTGAGGGATGAGTAGTATGTACGTAGTAGTTGGAGGATGCTTATCATTCAAAGTAGTAGTAAAGTAGTAGTAGTAGTAGTACGTAGTAGTAGTAGTACGTAGTAGTAGTAGTAGTAGTAGTAGTAGTAGTAGTAGTAGTAGTAATAGTAGTAGTAGTAGTAGTCGTCATCGTAGTAGTAGCACTAGTAGTAGTAGTAGTAGTAGTAGTAGTAGTAGTAGTAGTAGTAGTAGTAGTAGTAGTAGTAGTAGTAGTAGTAGTAGTAGTAGTATGGTAGTAGTAGCAGTCGTGGTGGTAGTAGTAGTAGTAGTAGTAGTAGTAGTAGTAGTAGTAGTAGTAGTAGTAGTAGTAGTAGTAGTAGTAGTAGTAGTAGTAGTAGTAGTAGTAGTAGTAGTAGTAGTAGTAGTAGTAGTAGTAGTAGTAGAAGTATTAGTAGTAGTAGTAGTAGTAGTAGTAGTAGTAGTAGTAGTAGTAGTAGTAGTAGTAGTAGTAGTAGTGGTAGTAGTCGTAGTAGTAGTAGTAGTAGTAGTAGTAGTAGTAGTAGTAGTAGTAGTAGTAGTAGTAGTAGTAGTAGTAGTAGTAGTAGTAATGGGAATGGTAATACTATAGTGGCGGCTGTGGAAGTAGTACACTAGTACTCTAGGGTAGTGTAGTACTCTAGGCTTGCAGTGGCATGCTAATGCTGTCGCACTGTAGTAGTAGTCATAGTAGTAGTAGTAGTAGTAGTAGTAGTAGTAGTAGTAGTAGTAGTAGAACCATAATACAAGAAAGATGATGAAGTAAAGTCAAGTGTATATTAGTAGTAGTAGCGATAAGTACATTACAGTAAGTATTAAGTGAGTTAGTAGTACTAGTTAGTCGTAACTCTGCAATCTGTTAGTAAGTAACAAGAAAGAAAAGTGGGAATCGTAGCACGGTTGTAGAATTGTAATAGTAATGGTACTCTCGTTGAACAAGCGAACACTGACAAATCGCGCGCAGGCAGACTGGGAGAAATGACCGGAGACCTCTCGTAACCGGGGGTGAGTGATGGCACCCCCGGCCGCCCCTTTACCTGAAGCGGTCGGGCTTGCCCAAGCAAGAGGAACGGCGTTGTCGCACAAAGGGGCGGCCAAGCTAAACTGACGAACGCAAAACCGACATGACGATCGTTGGTACCTTCAATCTGGCCCCATGAATCCGTGAACCACTCAATATTAGGCGCGCCTCAGAAGCTCTAGGCGAGGCATTGCTCATGGAAACTACCTGAATGCCAACATTATTTAGGAACACATGAAAATGAGTCCAGCGTGGACCCCAACCACCGAACTAGCGCAATCCTTGTAATTAGGCGCAATGCAAGGAATGCTAGCCAGTGCCAATCAACGAAAACCAATGCAAATGAATACAACACGAAACAGTGATAATCAATACAAAGCAGTTCGGAACAACCCATTGCACCACCCATGGGCGCAACCTAATTATGCGCAACTCACTTGCGCAACCTGTGGCACAACTTATGGCACCGATAATTCCCCACGTTAGGCGCAGTCCCTGTTAAGTCTCCGGGGGCCCCAGGCCCCAGGTCTCTGTGAGCGAAAAGAAGCTTCGAACGCAAGGGCATCGGTGGCGGGACCCTTTCCTCCTCTGAAGCCCGCCCTCCTCTGAGCCCTCCTCCGACTTTCCCCTGGCCGACCTGCTCCCGCTGCGCCTCTGGCAAGCCACGTCCGCTGCCCGAGCCTGCCGCCGAGGCACTTCCGGCCACGGCGGCGGCCAGAGCGGGCGCGGCATGCAGCAGCAGGCCCGCGGCGTACTCTGGCCTTCGGAGGCGGAAGCGCTAGGTGAGCGACGAAACTCGCCGTCGCTCGGACGTCCATTCCGTGTGCTTTTGTCGGTTTCGTGCGTGGTTTTTTCGCCAAATGGCCAAGGATGCTCCCCGAGGGTCCTCGCCGAGAAAAAAGTGCACACGTCCGAGCGATGCCAAGCGAAAAGAAGCGGACCGTACGCGAGACGGCACAGCGACCCGACGCGGTCGCTTGCGTGGGCCGCCCGCGCGTTGACGCCGCCTGGGAGACGGGGGGGGCCTTACGCGCGACCTTCTACGCGGGTAGCTTACGCGCCCAATGTCGGCGAAGACGGCCCCACCTCCCTGCGTCGCTGGAAGGTGGCGACACCTCTCCTCCGCCGCCTCCCCCCTCCCCTCCCCCTCCTCTTCTTCCCCCCCCCCTCCTCCTTCTGCCCCTGCTCCCCCTCCTCCTCCCCCTCCTCCTCCTCCTCCTCCTCCTCCTCCTCCTCCTCCTCCTCCTCCTTCCTCCCCCGGGAACGATCGACCCTCCCGAATCGACGGGAGGCCCGGGCAGGGCCTCGGACTCCGCCGCGAAGCCCGACGTCTTCGGAGCCCTGCCCCCGCCGCCCATCGCCTCGCCCGAACCATGGATCGGCGAGGGCATCGGTTCGGGAGCTCGCCCGCCTTCACACGGCACACAGAGGAGGTACCCATCGGTCGGAAGAAGTAGGTAGAAACATGAAGTAGGAAGGCGTTGGAAATAGATTGGGTTTCCGCACGCCTCCTGAAGAGGAAGGAAGAGGGAAATCCACTCGACTCTTGAAGTAGGAAGGCGCTGAAAGTAGATTGGAATCTGGGAATCCACAAATACCTACTTTCAACGACCGATGGGTAAGCGTCAAGTCGGGCCTGTCCCCCCTACCAGGGGGGATCTTCGACGAAAAATAAGCAATACCCCCCCAAAGCAATCCAAGCATGGTCCAAAAATGGCGCGGGGAGTATTTTTTGAGTATTTCTGTTACCCTTTTGGGGCACGTTTGGGTTTTTTTCTGTTTTTTTCAATTTTTTCGTCGAAAATCCCCCTGTAGGGGGACAGGCCCGACTTAACCCCAGAAGTCTGGACCCTTTCCCCGGGACCAGCTTTTCCTCCCGAGTCGTGTTTTGACGGTCCCGAGGCCCGGCGAGGACCTCCAGAGGGCGAAAACGAGCGAAAAACCTTCCGTCGTGATTTTGTTCACGGCGCGAGGGGCTCTGCGGCGTCGCGGGGAAGGCGGGGGGGGGCCGCGGAGGAGGCAAGCGGGGGGCGGCATCGGGCGTTGAGAGATCTTCGCCGCGAGGAGTGCGCGGGGGCGGCCTCGGGCACCAGGGGCCGACGTGTGCCAGAGGGTGTGCGGTTGGCCAGGGCCGTCGACGAGGGGGGAAACACGACATAAAGTCAACCCGCAGAGTACAGGGCAGTTTTTAATACATGGATTTGTTTTAAATATCGGATGTGTAACGCATTAGTAATTAATGAATAAATTTATGCATGAACTCATCGTTGTTTTTAATGCTCAGCCCCTGCATTTTTAATACATGATCCGCACGCGGAGCATGTATTAAAAACGGCACTGTAAGGATGGGCGACCTTCCCAAGGGTACCCTTGCATCCTTGTCTCCTCGGGCCATCCTTGGCCGCTTTCGTTGGCCGCGCCCCGCTCGAAAGCCTTGAAATGGGCGCCCAAGGCCCTTGCATCCTTATCGCGCATCCTTCTGTGCGGGTTGACTGTACAGGGTTCGGAAAAGTAGCGAACATTCATGTCGCATTCATCTGTCGATGCTTCCCCCTCCCACAATGATCAACAGGGGCGGTGGGTCTGATGAGTTGCACGTCCACCGCGGTCTTCCCCGCGAGATCCCGCGAGTGCCGAGTTTGAATTAAGGTAGGGGGGGATGTTCGTCAAGTGTTTCTCTTCGCCGTAAACGCAAACTTTCGGAGGTCCGCGAGCATTGGATCGACGCCAGACCCCCCTCCCTGGTGCGCGAAGCTCGCCAGGGGCGGCGTCAGAGGCGTCGCCAGGGGGGGGGCAGCGCAGATCCAGGGCTTCTTTTTGGGAGAGGAGGCGAAGGAGGAGGAGGAGGAGGAGGAGGGAGGATGAGGAGGGGGGAGGAGAAGGAGTAGGAGGAGAGGAGGAGGAGAGGGAGGAGTAGTAGTGGAGATTATGAGGAGAGGGAGTAGGAGGAGGATAGGAGAGAGAGGAGTGAGGAGGATGAGAGGAGAGGAGAAGGAGGAGAAGGAGGGAGGAGGGAGGAGGGAGGAGGGAGAGGGTAGGAGGGTAGGGAGAGAAGGAGGGAGGAGGAGGATGGAGGAGGGAGGGCGGAGGAGGGAGGAGGGAGGAGGGAGGAGGAGGAGGAGGGAGGAGGAGGAGGAGGAGGAGGAGAACGGAGCGCGACCATCTCTGCTCGACTCAACAATACGGCAGCTGCAGTGCGAATCAAAAAGGCCGAGAAGGCCGACCTGGAGAGCTGCCCAGCTCCAAAAAAATCGATGCTCCTCAGAACGCGTGCGTGCTTGTCCTCTGCAGCCCTTCAAGACGACGCGGGCGGGGCATGGAGGGCCCATTCAGGCTGCGTGGTGTGTGGTGCTGAACAGGGTACAGTCGGGGCGTTGACCTAAGGAACCCTGAATAAGGAACGGGGCCCCTTTTTTCCATAATTTAAGCTTCGACTTCCGATCGGAGACCTAAGGAAAACCTACGGTGAGCTGCAAAACAACTGAGGAACACTGAGCCCCTCCCAAACGAAAAGGGTTCCTTCTTCAGCGCCCCGACTGTACACACATTCGGTTAACACACGTCCTGAGGATCGTCGTGAACTGCGCGCGGACCTCCAGAAGTTTACGTCTGCTGGGCAAAACCGGGCGTGCCGATACCGCTGCTCCCCGGACCTCTCCCCGGTGGGGTCATGACCAGGCTTCCGCAGCGAATCTGGCCGGGGCGACGAAGGCCTTCCAGGAGGCCCCAACAAGCGAAGACGAGGCAAGGGTAGCGGTACCGGTATTTTTTTGTCCTCCTCCTCCTCCTCCTCCATCCTCCTCCTCCTCCTCCTCCTCCTCCTCCATCCTCCTCCCTCCTCCCATCTCTCTGCGCCCTCTTCTCCATCCAGCTCCTCCTCCTCCTCCTCCTCTCTCCTCGATCCTCCTCTTCCTCGTCCTACTCCTCCTCCTCCTCCTCCTCGATCCTCCTCTTCCTTCCTCGATCCTCCTCGATCCTCTTCCTGGCCTGAACTTCGAAGTTTGTTTGGTTCCGACGCGACGTCCAGCAGCAGCTCTGCGCCGCTTCGGAGGCGGCGAGGCTGCCGGCCCGGAGGACGTGCCGCCCCGCGGCTGCCGCTGCCTGGCGTGCGGCCTGGAGGGCACGGGGGAGGAGGAGGGGGAGGAGGAGGAGGAGGAGGAGGAGGAGGAGGAGGAGGAGGAGGAGGAGGAGGAGGAGGAGGAGGAGGAGGAAGGAGTCGCGGGGCGCTCTCTTCAACACGAGGGCCCAACACCACAAGATGGTGGATAAAAAATAGCCAGGCGAAGGGCAGGGCACGGCAGTGTGGAGCGAGAGGGCTTCGAGGCTCGAGGTTCGATGTCTTCGGACGTTTGCGTCGGCTCTCGGCGGCAATCAATCTCGGGACGCCTTCCAGCGGCTACACGTCTCGCTTTAAGAGCGCTCCAGAAGGGCCCCGGATCGTCCCGAACGGCCGCCGGAGATCCGAGTGATGCACCAAACACCAGCACCGACTCAGGGCCCGGTAGCCGCTGGAGAAGCAGGCGGCGTGTTCTCGCAGGAGGGCGAATTGAGGCAACGGTCGTGGGCCTTCCGGGGGCCCCCTCGTCGCCACGGCTGGACGCAACTCGGCTAGCTGGTGCGTTTGGACCACGGGGGGGGGGGTCCGGGGTCCAGGGGCCGATTTTGAGCTGCGGTCGTCAACTCGCCCAGCTCTGGTCGGCCTGCCGAAGAGCGTGGCGTGCGCGGGTGCGCTTCCCACCGTCCCGTCGGGTGGGTGATCGCCCAGCTGGTGCGTCTGCAGGGCGAGCCCAGCAGCAGAGTTCGTAATGCCTGGTTCAACCACGTGAGTCATACGCTTCATGTTCTGCTCAACCAGTCGATCTTGCGGGGGGGGCCATCAGCGCAGTGCGTGATCGCCCATCTGGTGCGTCTGCAGTGCGAGGTCAGCAGTAGAGTTCGTAATGCCTGGTACAACCAGTCTGATGTTCTGAGGGGGTCGAACGGTGGAATCGTGACCGGGGTGAACCACAGGACGCGTCCTGCCAGCAGCGAGACCAGCTGCATGCAGCATATGTCCTAACCTCCCCTTTCCCTATCCCCACCTTTCATCCGGCCCGACCCACGGAAAACTCCCCTGGGCCGCAGCCGTCGTCGTGAATGACCCTCGCCTATTGCCACCAGGGAGCGATTCACAAGCACGAGACCGAAGGAATGTCGGAGGCAAGACCAGCCAAATCCGACCCAAGAAAAGTCTCCCTTGGACATCCTCCCCTCGCATCCTGGGAGCTCTCGGAGTACTTGCCCCCCTGTGACGCACCGGGGGTCTAGCCCGAGCAGATGTCCCCACAGGGGCCGACTTTGATCTCAGAGCGAGCGGAATACTGTGCTGAATGAGCCGCGTTTTTCATTGCGCACCCCTGTGTTGTACATACAGACTGGGAAGGCGTGAGATCTTCAAGCTACCAACGATGCGCAACCATGTGGACGGCAATGGCCCCCCCGCAAGATCGACTGGTTGAACGGGACATGGATCATATGACTCACGTGGTTGAACCATGCATTACGAACTCCACTGCTGAGCCCGCACTGCAGATACACCAGATGGGCGATCATCCACCCGACGGGATGGTGGGAAGCGCATCCGCGCACGCCACGCTCTTCGGTTGGCCGACCAGAGCTGGGCGAGTTGAGGCGACCGCAGCTCAACATCGGCCCCTGGACCCCTCCCAGGGTCCAAACGCACCAGATTCCGAGCTGCGTCCAGCCGTGGCGACGAGGGGGGGCCCCCAAGGCCAACTACCGTTGTCTCAACTCGCCCTCGTACGCTAGTCGGCGCTAATCGACGCTCATTCAACACCTTCCCATCGATTACCAGGCGCTGGCGCGGGCTGCCTCACCCTAAAAAAAGCATCTCGAGCCGAAGCACTCCTTCCTCTGGGCCACACTCTTCGGCACGCCGAGGCCTGTCCGGCCGCCATCGCCGAGGCGCTCAACCCCGTCTCGGCGCCGGCGGCCGCCGCAGCGCCCGCGCCGGCCGCCACCTCCGCGCCCCCGGCCGCCGCAGCCGCCACCGAGCCGCTGGCCTCTGCGGCCGTCGCGGCCGCCGCGGAGCCGGCGCCGGCCGCCGCGGCGGCGCCCGTCGCAGCGCCGCCGGCCACGAAGGACGACGCTGCAGCGGCGACGCCAGAGGTGCAAAAAGCGGCGTGAGCATGACTTCTCGCCGGCCCGCGCGGAGTTCCTGGAGGCCCGGCGCCGAGCCAAGAAGTTCTGGCTCGGGCCTCCGAGAAGTCGGGTGCCTCTGCCGCTGTTTGCCCTCCGGGAGGCCCACCGGCACTGCCACGGCCAGGCCGAGGCGCACGAAGCGGCCCGGGGCCGTCTGTGGCGAGAATGCCGTCTCGCGGGAGCGGAAGCGCCGCACCCCGCTGGCGTCGCCGACCTCGCGCCGCGCTCCTCCCGCCCCGCGGGGGGCACCGAGCCGGGCGAGCGGCCGGGGCTGTGCTCTGTGGGCGCACGCTGCGCCCACGGAGCCCCGCCCTCCTGCAGGCAGAACATCTGCCGGCTGCACGCAAGAGTGACCCTGGGCAAGAGTGACCTTTGGTGCGCGGCTTCTGGGGGGGCCGCGGGGGGGGCAAGCACAAGCGCGCAAGACGCCACTGCCGCCTCGCGTTCGGCGATCGGGGGGCCCCACTGGCCCGCACCGGAAGGTCACTCCGGCGAAAGGTCACTCTTACGTCCAGTCGAATCTGAGGGCTGTGGAGTTCTCCAGGGGCCAGATCACAAGCGTGTCAGAATTTCCGGGCGCTCCTGGGCGCTTCCAGCGATTCCCTCGCTGGCCTCCGGAAAGCCAAACCCGCCGAACCCGACTCCAATGTCCCACAAGAGCTTCCCAAGCAGCGCAGAAGAAGGCGCAGGAATTCTCGGTAGCCGCGATGGGCCGCCGTGGGGTTCTTGGGGGCCTCGTGGGCCGTTTTGAACCCCTCGGGGGCGGGTCCAAGGTCCCCAGGGGGCCCCAAAGGGGCCCCGAAGGCTCCCACGAGGCTCTCCAAGAGGCATTAAACTGGACCTCTTGTCCTCGACACGGTGATGACAATTAGCGTGATGGGCCAGAGGCTGCTGGCAATGCAGAAGTCGAAGGTCAAGCAACATCACACTGCAAATCAACTATGCTGACAGACATGAGCAATGACAACAAATAGTGTCGGAGGTACTTGTCGTAATGACGCTGCTGCAAGCAGTAGTGGTGATCCCGATTTCAAGAACAGGAGCGGTTGACGTTGTCAGGGTGGGAGACGAGAAAATCAACGCGCAAATGTTACCATTCGCATTGATACTAACTCGCAGTAGCAAGCCTAAGGAGGTTAGTGGCGATACCGTGGGCAGTCGCTGAAAATCCGCCACTTTACCGTGCCCACTGGTAGGGTTTCTGCGAGTCGTCCAAGAGCCGACCCCACTCACGCACCACGCTTCGTTGCGTGCATCGCCCCCCCCCCCACCCGAGGCTACGTGGACGGCTCGACGCCTCCCCGCTGTTCTCCAGGACTTCCACGACGGACAAGGAGGGCCTCCAAGGCCACCAGTATGTCCCAACCCCAATCATCACCTAACAATCCTCAGGAAGACTACCAGAGGTGCCAAAGACACAGCCCATAACAGCCCAATAAAGCCCCAATAAGGTCTGGGCTCCGAAGACAGCCCCTAGACAAGCGGAGAGACTCCCCAAAAGTAAAGCTCGCCGCCTCAGCGAAACATGAGTCTTGGGCGGGGTCTGTTTGACAGCCTCTGGCCCCCCCGGTTGGCCCTCACGCGGCAGGACGAACACGGGCCTTGCACCAGCGCGCGAACAGCTCGTTGTTCTTGTTCAGCAAGCTGTACTCGACGGCCTGAGCCGCGGCATCCTCTAGCGCAGCTGCGTCGCCACCCACGTCCAGCAGACTCAGGGCCCGCAACACGCTGAACGGCTTTGGGTCCCGCTGGTCTGTGGAGCACGAGCCAGAGCGCTGAAAATAGAAGTTGACGCTCGGAACCCCATAGTGGCATTTACAGACGCTCCTGCCCTGAGAAAACTGGGCGAGCGACACCACTTCCATACGGCCGAAATTGCCATTGGTCTCCGAAGGAGGCACGAAATGCACGACGCAACAACACTCCAGGGAATCATGCTGGCAGCCCGGCTCGCAGGGCGCCGTCCGGACAACAATGCCGTGATGGTTGTACGAAAAGCCGAGCCTCCAGGCGTAGATGTGGTCCCCGCTCTCCAGCTCGGTCTTGGCAATGCTGTCGACGAGACCTGACTTGTCCAGACGGTGCTGCACAAATTCAGCTCCCGTCGCGGCAGTGCTGACCCCAGTGCTCACCCAATCCATGGGTCTCATAATGCTTCCGATCCGAGACATAGCGACACTGGTGGTGCTAGTAGCCGTCATCTTCCACACCGCTTAGGAATGTGGGCTGCTTGACATGAATGGCTGAGGATGGGGGGGGGGGAGGGAAAAGCAGGATGTTGCTGCCGTGTTGTCCACAGCTGTTCACGAACAACTATCCACAAGGATACCCGATCGCGATCGCCAAGTCATGAAACCAGGAAGAGAAAGATAAATGCGGAATTCTGTCAATCGCAACGCAACTAAGCAAACACCTGCGCGTGCGCGCTGTCTGAATACTGATATGCTATAACGGAAGACGCGTACGTATGGGGAAGAACTGCATCTCTCTGGCCGCATACCAGCTTGAACAGGGGATTCGAATCTGATAACTGTGCAAAATTCCGAGCATCCATAGAAAGAAAAAGGCCGGTCGGTACCAAGCCATGCTGATCTGCAAATGCGCACGACCACATCTGGACTACTTGGAGCCAGGGTGACCCAAACTTGGAGGCATCTCGCTATGCTTGAAAACACACAACAGCAGCAGCAACAGCAGCAGCAGCAACAACAACAATCAATTTAAGACTGTTCGCTCGTATCGCGGGCCACTCAACACGTATGTCGCAAACCCTCGATGCCCGCCCTCTTCGTCTTCGATCGTACCCCCTTTGGGGGCATACATCGTTCTTACCTGCAACGTGTATTCCGCGCAGCCCCTAAGGCAGGGGAGGAGAGGACGGATGGAAGGAAAGGACAAGAGGGAGGGAGGAGGATGGAGCACGGGATTAGCAAGAGGGGGGAGCAAGAGGCGACTTGCGGAACCAAACGGGCGGGTAGACCCTAACGGGCGGGTCGGGAATGCGGGCCCAAGCGGCTAGGTCGAGCAGGCGGCTTTCAAACGTGATTGCTGCATGAATCGCCAGGGGGTCTCGGGCGGTAGCACGATTCCCAAATAAATCAGGAGGACATCCAGAGCGAGAGCGTGATTTCTGAGTGTCGAGGGCGCGGCGTCTAATAAATGGGGTGGAAATCCCATGCGAGAGCGCGGGGTATCCATTGTGAGGACGTCCCGCGCGAGGGCGCGATTCGGGAATAAATTGTGTTGTATCCGGCGGGAGCCGTTGTTCTTGTTGGCAACAAGGGCGCTGGGGACCCACGGTTTTCCTTGTTGCCAACGCGCTGAGGCAGGTCAAGGTCATACGAACGCTTGACGCCGTTGCGGCCCCTCGAGGCTCACAAAGCTTCGAAGGTCACCAGCGCAAACCTTCGTAGCTGCGCTCGGAATAGTTGAATCTTTGTGATTCGCAGGAAGTCACACATATTTGCTGAATCTGTGTGTATCGCAGGGAATCACAACTATTCAAAAATCACCAGCGCGGCTTTTCGTGGCAAGCTTTGTGATGGCCGACCGCTTGATCACAAAGACTGCGTGGAAAGGCTGCACTCTGAATATGTGAACCTTTGTGATTCGCAGGGGTCACAAAGATTTGCAGAATAGTTGTGATTAGCAGGGGGTCACAAAGATTTGAGGAATCGTGGTGGCCCGAAGGGGTTCACAAAGATTCGAAGATCCTCAGCTCCGCATTTCGTGATAATCTTTGTGACGGCGCAGCGCTTGATCCCAAATATTGCGTGGGAAGGCTGCGCTCGGGATCTTTGAATATTTGTGATCCGCAGGGAACCACCAAGATTTGCGGAACTTTTGTGGTTCGCAGGGAATCACAAAGATGTGCGTCATCTTTGTGATTCGCAAGGGGCTTCAAGTATTTGCAGGGTCTAGGATCTCCAGCGCAGCGTGGAGGGGGAGGGGGAGGAGGCTAAGGAGTAGAGGAGGATGAGTAGGATGTTGACAAAGGAGCACGGAGCCTTCCAGAAAAGATTGCCAGGCGTGGGTCGTCGTCAGGCCGTCTCGGGGTCTCGGATCAGAATTGGACCGCGTCGGCGATGTATTTACTGGCTTCCAATGGGGCAGATGTGGACGCAATATCAAGCCGTCTACGACTATCTTGGACCTCCATGAGCAATGTTTACAGCTACGGTCGGTTGCGCGTAAGCGGTATACGTTTGCAACATGAAGGACGCGCAGTCGTTCATCTCGGGTGGTCTTGGGTTCTCTTGGGCTTCCGCAGGCAGTCCTCACTGCAACATCTGGTTGCACACAAACGGTGCATGCTCAATACCAGAGACGGTAGAGGGAAACAATTCGTGAACCTCTCCCCTGCCCCCAAAACTCAAGGTTGGCACGCGCGGGGGAGACTGCGGTCGAGGTGCAACCCATCAGACCCACCGCCAACTTTGAACAATGGGGGGAAGGGGAGGCGCTCACAAATGCATGCGGCATGCGTGTTCGCTATGTTTTCCGAGGCCTGGATTGCCCGCGAACGGTACAACACAACCGTGTTTCTTGCACCGTGTACGTGCAATTTTGACCCTCGATCTCTCTTCAAACGCTTGCGCGGTGAAGCGCGGGGCCTTCTAGGCCACGGGCCGCCGTCAGGCCGTCTTTGCGATCTTGGGCATACCCTGGGCCGCTTTGGATCTGCACCCTGAGGCCTACAGTGGGACAGATCTGGACGTCCAGAACTGCCTTGCATTCCCCGCGGGCCCTTGTTCACTGCACCGGCCGTTCTTGTAACGTTTTACGTGCGCCCTGCAAGTTCGCACCGTCTCACATCACAAGGTCGCCAGTTTGCGCTGTCTTTGGGCTCGTTCGTGGTCTATCGTGCACGTCTACGCGCGAGCTGTTGTGGCCCGTGCAGGGATGATCCAGTGGCGCTGCCGCGCGATTCCGCCACCGCGCCTGGGGGGGAGGGGGAGGGGGAGGGAGGGGGAGTGCAGGGGGGGAGGGAGGGGGGGAGGGGCCATGGGGGGGAGGGGGGGGGGGGGGGCCATGGAACGTCCTTCCGTTTACTTCGTATTCGGGGCGCAGTGTTTGTTTGGTAAGCCAACAGCGCAGGGACTGTGTCACAAAACCACACCTCGGGCTCGATGCGTCAATGGGGTCCTAGTTGTTGCTTCGTAGGGAGCGGAAGGGCCCGAGACGCACCTACCGGTGCAAGCGCGGTGGCGGATCTGGATTGCCACGGGCCCCCGAAAGACCCTCTGCGTGCAGTCGCCCCTGTCGTGCCATCTGCGGCGGTACCTCACCTGCGCATGTCCGGACATCCGGAGGCGGAGAATCAACGGATGCGCACCTGTTTTGCCGGCTCACGACGGAGCTTGCGTCATGGATCAACCGCCGAGTCAGCTATCAGCTCCCCGGCAGGCGCTGGCAGGGCCGCCGCAGGCTCCACCCTTTTTACGCACGGTCAAGTACATGGGGGCTCGCCAGGGTATGTTTACTCTCTCGCCATCCTGGTTTTGCTGGCCGTCCGCGGGTTACCGCGGCAACCTATGGGCAGGCAGCTACGCCGCTGCCGAGCAGAGTCTCTCATGCAACAGTTTCGATGCGTGTACACATGCTTGCTTCACAACCATTGCAGGGAGAGCGTTGGCGAACATCACACCTGGGCAGCTCACGCGGAAGGGCGCCACACGGCGCACACAGGCGTCAGGCCAGTGGAGGCGCTTGGGGAGCCCAGCGTGCAGGCAGCCTTCAAGGAAGTGGCGGAAACATGGGCAGAATATGTGGGGCCACTATTACCCCGTGCAGCTCGATCAATTGATGAGAAAGTTCTCATCAGCATGGCAGACGCAATTTGGAAACGGGTTCCTCTACGCTTGCGGGACTGTGGAGTTACGTGCGCCAGTGAATACACAAAGCAGAACGTGCTGAAATGTTTGAACTCACTGTTGCCCATAGTTTTCCACGTTGCCCTCATGTCGTGCAGCCAGAAACTGCACGATTGGTTGGCTGATAAGCGAGCTGCAGGTTCACTCTGTGATTCCCTACAGGTTTTCGGGCTCCTCACAGCAGTTGATGTCACTCGCGCGGTTTCTCAGCTACGCGCGCCCGCGAGCGCAACTGCAGACTTCGTCTTGGAATCTGTCATTGACAAAACCGCGGTGCAGGAGGTCAGCTGGGCGACGCTCATAGCGCATCAGCGCGAACCTCGCCAAGTGCTGGAGGAAATCCCGATCATAATCATCGAGCGCATTTTACAAGCCCCTGCTAGCGCATACAAGGCCTAAGTGTCGGAAGCCTCTCGCACCTTGCTCGCCGATGTTAAACGCACGTCCTGCTTCGCCGTGACTCTGGTGAAGACAGCGGCGCAGGCCCTGGGGCTGGTCTATATAAGAAGCCGCGAGGAGTCGTCGGCAGCGCTCCCGCGTTGTTGAAAAATTCTGTGGCGTTGGCCAAGAAAGGCTTCAACCCCAAAGCGCCGGTGGTCGGGACACAAGAATGGATCACGCTGGTGGAAATGGCGCTGCACATTCTGAGCAAGACGGCGGGGCAGAAGGTGATGCCGAAGAGGAGGGCGAAGCGCATTCAGCAGCAGTGGCACCGAGGGGCCCCGCAAGAAGGCGCGGAAATTCCACATCAACCCCCGCGGGAAGAGCAAAGCGGAACTGCTGCGAATGGTGTCTTCGGCGAGAAATGCCGCGGCGAAGTGAGGTGGAACAGTAGCCGCGCCGCAAACGGTGAAATGCAACCATCTGTCTTGTACCGTGTACGTGCAACCCAGAAATTCGCACAGTTTACGTGCAATCTTCCACGTTGGATCCTGCGCCGTCTGCGCGCAGCCGGTCGTCTCGGGCTGTCTCGGGATTTCGTTGGTAGTCTGCGCGGCAACGGCCGACAGCACGGAAACAGTACATGTGTGCAACGCCAGAGGTTGCGCGTAAACGGTGCAACGAAACCGTCTATAGCGTGCCGTTTGCGGTCCCTACACGTGCAACATTCAATTCGTGTCGCTTCGCGCATCCCCACCAGCCCATCCAAAAATGATGCCCGTCAGAGCTGCCGGGGGGGGAGAGGAAGAGACGCGCATAATCAAACAGCGAGGGGGGCCAGCCTGGACGGCGCTCTGGGGCCATCTGAGGCCCGCGTGGGGAGGCTGGAAGAGGAGGAGAAGGATAAGGAGGAGAAGGAGGAGGAGGAGGAGGAGGAGGAGGAGGAGGAGCGGGAGGAGGAGGATGAGGAAGAGGAGGGAGTAGGCAAGAG